TACCAATGCCCTGGGATGTCCCTCACTTTTGGGGCGTTCCAGGGGTGTGAGGCTGCATAGGGTCCCAGGATGTGAGGAAAGGCTCTAGGCTGGGGACTTTGAGGCAACTCCCTGGAGCAGTGGAAGCTCAGACTTGCTCCTGCTGCGTGAAGCTGGGTCTAGGGGAACTCAGCAGCCTTCTTCCCACGTGCACCCCAGGCTGTGGAGCGGCTGATCCACCCTCAGCTGTGTGAGCAGTGCATTGAGTTCCTGGAACGGCAAGTGGTGCAGTACATCAATGCCAGTCCTGAGCGTGGTGGGGACGAGGTGGGCCATGCCTTCCTTCTGGTGCACACCAAGCTGCTGGCCTTCTACTCCAGGTACACCCGGCCCCACCGCCCTCCCCAAAGACACCACTTATCCTCCCGGCTGACCCTTCCCTTCTCTGTCCTGCAGCCGCAATGCCAGCTCCATCCGCCCGGCCGACCTGCTTGTCCTCATCCTCCTGGTGCAGGACCTGTACCCCAGCCAGAGTGCCGAGGAGGAGCTCAGCTCTCAGGTGATCTAGAGCAGAATTGGAGTCCAGAGCAGGTCAAGGTGCTCCTGTGGGGGCATGCCTTGGCAGCCAGGCTTAACTTTTTTTCCCTCTTTTTGGAAGCCCATGGCAGGGAACGTTCTCCCCGAGGGACCCAAGAGAAGTGAGAGCATCCCTGTGAGTGGCCCTGGCTCCCATGGAGCTGCAGAGAAGGACTCAGATGACCAGGTGAGGCCATGAGATCAGGAGCTGTAGGGTGGGATGCTGGAAGGACTGCCTGCATTGCTCCCATTGCTGACACATCCATTCTCAGTGGCAGGACACAGATGATCAATCTGTACCCGAGGTCTACTACACACCTGAGCCCTCGCCAGGCGGGCACAGCACAGGTGAGTCCCCAGCTAGGCAGTAGCCCTGCCCCCTGCCCCCAGCCCTGCAGAGGCTCTGGGGCTGTGAAGGGGCCTGGTGGGAAGGGTGACCTGCTCTTGTGTTCCCTGCAGGCAGTGAGAGCTGGTCAGAGGGTGCTGAGATGCTGAGCATTGGGGAGGCAGAAGCTGCAGATGTCCAGGTGAGCACAGTCCTGCAATGCCTCCCAGCTCCACACCTCGACAGCCTGTCCCGATGCTCTTTGTGCTCTTTGCGGTCTCTGGTCCTTGGCACTCGTCTCTTGCTATGCTGCAGCTGTGGGTACCCTGTGTCCCACATGTTGTGCCTAACTGTGACAGCTCTGACTGCCCTCTCTGAGGCGTTGCTTACAGTCTCCCTGTCCAGAGCTGTCAGCAGAGAGAAATCGGGGTTGCCTCAGAGCAGTCCAGTGTCTCCCTCTGCTGCCTCTGGGCTTTCTGGGCCGCTTCTGTGATGGATGCTGCAGCACTTCACACACTGCAAGTAAGCATTGGCCTCACTTCAAGGCATTTGCAACCTTTGTCTTTCTGTCTGGTGCTCTTTTGGGGTTCCTGGGCACTTCCCTTGCTGCTGATCTTCTGTTGCATGGCCCCTTCAGCTCCTTCAGTTCTGTCATGCCTAGTTGCAGCTTTCAGGGCATTGCCATGTCCCTACAGAGCATCCCAGGTTGGTGCAGGCTGCCTCATACCCACAGGGGGCTGAGCATCTTCTCTTTCTCCCCAGATGGCAGAGGACTTGCTCCAGACCTTGGGGCCTCTGGTGCCTGAAGCTTCAAACCCCAGAAGGATCTTCTTGGATGCCAGCCTGCGGGAAGGTTACTGCCCCTTGCTGCCACATACCATGCACTGCCTACCACTCTGGCCAGGCATCTCCCTCGTGTTACTGACCAAGGTGAGCTGCCTCTGAGGTCAGGGAGGCGATGTTGGACTGAATCTTTCCTGACCCACGTCTCCCTTCCCTGGTAGGGCCCCATGACCCAGGTGGCTGTCACCTTATACCAGTTGCTGGATGGGTTCTTGGTGCTGGAGAAGAAGCTGGAAGAGGGGCCAGAGGCGGGAGTTGCACGCTCCTACCCGTTCCTGGCCGAGCTGCGGCAGCGCATGGACAAGTTTGTGAAGAAGCTGAGTGGACAGGACATCCAGGTGGGAGTGGGAACATGAGGACCCTGTCCTGCTGTCCCCACAGCCTGACACAGTCCTGTCTTTTCAGTTGCAGAACACCTGGTTGGACTTCAAGAACAAGATATTTTCCCGGAGCGAGCCTGGGAGCTCCTTGGAGTGAGTAGGGGGTGGCCAGGAAAAGTCTGCAAAGCAGGCAGGCACCTTTCCCAGGCTCGGGCCAGCACAGCTGTCCCTGCAGTGCTGGGGACCCAGTGTCCAAACTCAGTATTCTCTGTGTCTCCTGGCTCAGGCTGCTGCAGGCAGTGGCCAGCGTGAAGCGGCAGCTCTGCTCTGTGTACCGCCAGCTCTTCCTGACCTCTGCTGGCCACAGCCTGTCCCAGGGGCTGCGGGACCATGCTCAGAAGCTGATGAGGTGAGTGCATGGGGTGGTCAGCATCACCAAGGGGCTGCTGCACACCCAGCTGTGCTGGGACTTGGGGGTCCTGGACTCTCACCGTGCTTCTTCTCGGCAGGGAGAAGCTGCTGGACTGGCGGGACTTCCTTCTGGTGAAGAGCAGGCGCAATATCACCATGGTGTCATACCCATCTCTGCGGCTGGGAACACAGCCTGGAGAGGGGGTGTCCCCAAGGGGGTAGCAGACGTGGGAGTGGGACCCTGTCCCCCAGCACCAGGGTCAAGGGGAGGAGTGTGGTGGGTGAAGGCAGTTTCCCCGGAGGCTCAAGGGCTGTCCTGGAAAGGCACCAAAGTTGTTGGACACCCTTAACCCACCCCACATACCTAGAGGACTTTCCTGGCCTGGTGCACTTCATCTATGTGGACCGCACAGCTGGGCAGATGATGGCACCATCACTCAGTGTGACAGAGAAGTCCAGCTCAGAGCTCGGCAAGGGTCCCCTGGCCAACTTCATCAAGAGAAAGGTACTGCTCATGGGGGATAGAGGTGACATGGGAACCACCAGAGGGGGTGGTAGTTGGAGGATTTTCTGCTCAGGCTTCAGGTGTCCCTTTGTCCTCCAGGTCTGGTCCCTGATCACACTGGCCCGGCGATACCTACAGAAGGGCTACACGACACTTATGCTGCAGGATGGCGACTACTGTTGCTCCTACTTCCTCTGGTTTGAGAATGAGCTGGTATGTGGGGCCAGGAAGGGGCTGAGCCCCTCTGCCCCAGCACCTTCTGGGGCAGGGAGAGGGGCTGTAGGCACAGCCACCTCTGGCTCCTCTGCAGTCCCATCCCTGTTTCTGCCCTCTGCTGTCGTTTCTCCCCAGGGCTACAAGCTAGAGGTGATAGAGGTACCGGTTCTGTCTGATGATTCTGCTCCAATTGGGATGCTGGCAGGGGACTACTACAGGTGAGCAGTCACCAGCCCTGTGGTGTCACTGCAGGGTGATACTGGTGCTGTGGTGTCACTGGGGTTGCACCAGCCCACCTCCCCAGCCTGGTGCCATGGTTCTTCTGTGTCCTTGCAAAGGACTTTCTAAAGGGAAGATGGTTAGAAAGGGGGTGCCTGTGTGCACTCTACCTGCCAAGGCCTCTTCCTTCTCCTCCCCAGGAAGTTGCTGCGTTATTACAGCAAGAACCACCAGGCAGAAGTAGTGAAGTGCTACGAGCTGCTGACTGTGCACCTGGGCATCATCCCCTCTGAGCTTGTGGTCCAGCAGGCCTGCGACTTGGCCCGGCGCCTCTGGGAGCCATCCCGCATCCCTCTGCTCTGAGCTGCCTCTAGCCACCTCGGGCATTAAAGCGGGTGTGGATGTTCTGGGAACCTGGGCTGCTTTCTCAGTATCTGTGTCGTGGGCTGTGTCTGCAGGCAGTGACAGGCAGCCTTCCCATCCTTCAGTCTGGCAGGGCTGGCACTACCCCCTTCCCTGCTCTCCATGGGTTTTCACTGCCACCCAGCAGCCTCTGGGGACAGGCAGAGAGTGGGGCTGAGAAGCTGTTGGCACATCACCATCTTGCTGAAAAGGGCTTTTCCGGAGCAGGATTTATAGTGTTAGCTTGGCATTGCTGCTTGGCTTTGGCCAGAGCTCAAAATAGTGTAGCCAAACGTGCGTGGAGAAATGGTCCGGAGTGCATCCCCCTTCCCCCTCATCCCCAAATGTGGGGTGTGGGGCCCTCAGAGGTTAGGTAGGCTCTGGGGAGGTGCATCCTGTCCTGTACCCCCTTCCCCACACCCACACTCCCAGGCACTGGTTAGCCGCAAGTCTGAGCTCCTCTGGGAACAGTAAATTAATCTGAGGCAGCTTATGTGTGTCCCAGGCACATCAGGGCTCAGTGCCTGTCCAGACCTCGGGCACAGTTGGGATTGAGGCCAGCCACAAGGGAGTTGGGCAGCCACTGCCCCTTGTTGCTCCCATGCTGCTCTCTGGAGCTGGGGATGGTTCTTCTGAGAGCACTGGATCATGACAGGTCCTTTGCCCCATCCTGCTGGGCAGGAATTTGCTGAGCAATAGCACTGGATTCAAAGCCAACCTCTTCCCTAAGCTGCCCCTTTTCCTGCTGTCCCCACCTGCTTGAAGCTTGCCTGTTCAAGGTGGGGCAAACTCGCTCTGACCTGCACTGCTTGGTCCATCACCCCAGCCACATGCCTCTGGATCATCCCTGGAACAGAACAGGGGCTGGAGGAGGGGACGCTCTCAGGCCCCCACCTGCCTGCCCAGCACCTTCCTGGAGTATAGTCTGAGGAGTACTTGGCATCCTGCTGAACCCCAGACAGGATCTGACCCTGTCACCTTCTCAGCACTGGGAATGGTCTCCAGCCCTGCTGCAAGTCCCCAGCAAAACTGTGCCAGGGTCAGTGCCAGCAGCAGGGGCAGTGCTGCTCGGCATGTGCTCCTGTCCCGCCTATCGTCCCCGCAAGCCCCGGCACACAGTGGCTGGCCCTGCCTCAAGGCGTTCCCTGCCCGGGCCCCCCCATCTCTTCCCCGTGCCCGGAAGCCCTGGGAAAAGTTCCGCCAGGAAAGCAAAGTCCAGGCTGCGGGACTCAGGGCAGCCATGGCTAGGCACTGTGGGGCAATGGCAACCAGGATCCAGGCAAGACTGAGCACAGTCTGCTCTTCCCGATGGCTGCAGGACTGGCATCTGTCCCTGGGGCTGTCAGGAGCACGTTTGACCCACGCCGGGGCTGCAGAGCGACTGCAGCGGGAGTACGACGCGGTGGTGATCGGGGCAGGTAACGGAGCAAGGGAGCAAGTGTCGAGCTGTGGGGAGCCAGCGGGGACCCCCACTTGTCCTTCCCCCACAGCAGGTGGCAGGGGAGTGGCCAGGCAGGAACCACAGCAGTGCTGGACACGTTGCAAACCCCCAGGGGTCTGGCACAGCTGGGCACACATTGCAGCCCCCCAGCATGCAGGGCACAAAGGGAACATCTGCCTTGAGCACTTCTGTCCCCCTCCCCTGCACCGTTAGGGCCAGGGCTGTAGGGCCAGTGGAGGATGCCCCTTGTCACCTGTATCCCTGTGTCCAGAGCCCGTTATTCAGGTGGCTGTGGCTCCCCCATGCCTCAGGCATGGCAGGGTGCCCTGTCTTGTGGGACTGTCCCAACACTGGACTCTGCTCACCTCCCTCTCTCCTTGCAGGGCACAACGGGCTGGTGGCAGTAAGTACCAAGAATGGCATGCTGCCTCTCCTCTATCCCTGGGAAACAGCCAGGGACTGGGAAGGGTCTGCGCAGTGGTCAAGGGAGGGCTTTTGTGGCAGTGCCCATGGGGCTGGGGGCTCCCACAGGGCCCTCCCTGGTGAGGGGGAGCACCCTGTGCAAAAGGGTGCTCAGACTGACAGGGACACATCCCAGCTGGAGGGATGGGCAGTGCGATGTCATGCTCCCCACAGGCTGCCTACCTGCAGCAGGCAGGGGTGCGCACAGCTGTGCTGGAGAAGCGCCACGTGCTGGGCGGTGCAGCTGTCACAGAGGAGATTGTGCCAGGTACCCCTGCATGCCCCTTGTCACCCTGGCCCTGGCTAGCCCTGGATGTGGCCACCCTCCTCTACCCCACATCTTCCAGGGTTCAAGTTCTCCCGGGCGTCGTACCTGCTCAGCCTGCTGCGGCCACAAATCTATGCCGAGCTGGAGCTGCAGGTATTGGCACCCATCCCTTGCTGGTCTGCCAGCACCTCCCAGCATGCAGGCAGGGTGCCCCTGCTGCAAGGCTGTCTCTGCAGGGTGGGTCCTGTAGCAGGGACATCCCTGTCTTGTAGCGGCACGGCCTGAGGGTGCTCCCACGGGACCCCTACTCCTTCACCCCACTGCTGGAGGACAGGAGCCCTCCTCGCTCCCTCCTGCTGGGACACAACATGGCCCAGAATCAGCAGCAGATTGCTCAGTTCTCCCAGAAGGATGCCCAGGTACTGCAGGGGCACACACCTGGCACAGCAAAGCCGTTGAGGTGCTGCCCTGTCCCTGAAGCAGCAGGGTTGCTCCTGGGTGTGATATCCAGTGCACCTATCATGGTGCAGTCCTTGTTTTTCCCTCTCTGTCCCCTTTCAGGCTTACCCTGAGTATGAGGCATTCATGGGGGGCATGGTGTCGGCCCTTGACCCACTGCTGGATTCTCCTCCACTGGATACAGCAGCCCTGGGGAAGGGGTCCCTGCTGCAGAAGCTCAGAAACCTGCGAGCCCTGTGGCCCCTGCTGCAGGCAGGTACATCTGGGGTGCTGGGGAACCCCGATGGCAAGGGGTGTCTGTCAGCACCTGGGTTGGGCAATGCAGAGCCTCCTCAGGAGCCCCAGCTGGGCTGGCAGGCTCTGGTGGGCTTACCTACCTTGGTCCCACTGCCGGTTCCCCAAACCCAGCTGGGAACCAGCAGCCAGCCCTGGTACAGCAATGCAGCTCTCACACCACCTCTCCACCCCCAGGGCTGACGCTCGGCCAGCAGCTGCCCCGCTATTACGAGGTGCTCACAGCTCCCATCTCTAAGGTTTGTGCTGATGGTAGCAATGTGGAGCCACCCACTGCCTCAGGTACTGCCTGCAAGGGTGCTGCGGCAGCTCTGCACCCCAAGCCTGGCATGCTCTCTTTCTCCTGGGCCAGATCCTGGATCAGTGGTTTGAGTCAGAGCCCCTGAAGGCAACTCTGGCTACTGATGCGGTGATTGGAGCCATGACTAGCCCCTACACCCCCGGCAGCGGGTGAGGGTCCCTTCCCCCTGGGGCTCATGGCTGCATTGTCCCCCCATGCCACACTCTGTGCTTGGCTCTGCTGCACCCCAGTACCCAATGCCCTGACTCCTTGCCTCTCCCTCTCACTGCCTGTTCAGCCTTGCCAGGGTGCCTCAAGGGTTGGAACTGGGCAAGGGGCCATCCCTGCCATATGGCTCTCCTGGGTGGCCCCCACCTATCCCTTTGCTGTTTGGACACCTCTAACCCTGGGTCAGATTGAGTCCTGGCTGGTGCGTGCTCCCTGTAACTGAGTTGGCATCCTATGAGCTGGCACAGTCCCATCTGTGGGGGCTGTGGCACCGCCCTCACTCTGCCCACGCAGGGGACAGACCCATCCCCTCGTCCGGCATCTAAACTAGTGTCCTGCTACCACAGGTATGTGCTTTTGCACCATGTCATGGGTGAGCTAGAGGGACGGCGGGGAGCCTGGGGCTACGTGGCAGGTGGGATGGGAGCCCTGTCCCAAGCCATTGCCCACGCAGCGACAGCCCGGGGAGCCCACATCTTTGCTGAGAAGGTATGGGGTGCCGGGTAGAGGGGAGCTGCCTTGCCATCCTGCAGGAAGCAGGGATGCTCTTGGTGAAGTCTTGTCCCCTCTGCCTGCCCAGGCAGTGTGCCACGTGCTGCTGGGCAGGGACGGGCGGGCACAGGGTGTTGCGCTGCAGGATGGTACAGAGGTGAGGAGTAAACTGGTGCTCTCCAATGCCTCCCCACAAATCACTTTCCTGGAACTCATTCCTCAGGTATGGAGTGCATGGGACTGGTGGGGGCTTGGCATATCAGCATCCCCCCATCCACACTTGCCCCTCACAGTCAGTCTCTGCACTGGCATATCCCATCCTAGAAGCAGCTGCCGAAGGATTTTGTCCAGCGCATCCGGCAGGTTGACACACGCTCCCCTGTCACCAAGATCAATGGTAGGTACTTTCAAGGACACTTCTGCTGCCATCCCTGCTGGAGGAACACCAGTGCTAGGCTCAATAAGAGGCTGCACCCTGCTTCCACCATTTCCCCATCCCATGCCCAGTGGCGGTGGATCAGCTGCCCAGCTTCCTGGCTGCCCCCAATGCCCGTGACGGCCAGCCCCTGCCCCACCACCAGTGTTCCATACACCTCAACTGCGAGAACACCCACCTCCTGCATCAGGCATTCACTGAGGCTACCCACGGACACCCCTCCAACAGGTAGGAGCCTGCACTGGCACACCTTGGTTCCACAGGGGAAGGGACAGGACAGTCATGACAGGTGCTGGGGAAAGAGGTGTGGGGTGGCTGGGTCCCTCTCTGCCTGCCCAGCTGGTGTACTGCTCCCTCAGGCCCATGATCGAGCTCTGCATCCCCTCAGCGCTGGACCCAGGACTGGCCCCACAGGGCTGCCACGTTGTGTCCCTCTTCACCCAGTACACCCCATCCGTGCTGGCGGATGGTCAGTCCTGGGACGAGCAGGCCAGAAATGCATATGCAGACAGGGGTAGGTAATGCACACACAGACTCCAGTAACACCAGGAGCACAGGTCCCTGCCCATGGGCAGAGCTGCCCTGGAACTGTGCATGGGCTTGCTCCCATGTCCCCCCCAAGCTGCCCACCAGTCCCTTCATCTTTCTATAGTGTTCAACTGCATTGAAGACTATGCCCCAGGATTTAAGGCATCCGTCATTGGCAGGGATATCCTGACACCACCAGACCTGGAGAGGATCTTCGGACTGCCCGGTGGAGTGGGTACCATGCATGTCACCTCTGAGCATCACTACGGTGCCAATGCTGGTGGGCATACAGTCCTGGCCCAGGCACAGCCAGCTCACATAGAGCTCTGTTGGCAGAACATCTTCCATGGAGGGATGTCTCTGGACCAGCTCTACTTTGCCCGGCCAGCACCATCTTACTCTGGCTACCGGTCCCCAATTCCTGGCTTGTACCTGTGTGGAAGTGGAGCCCACCCTGGTGAGCAGAGCTGGGAGCCAGGACCCTTCTGGGGGGCTGCAGAAGGAAGGCAGGGGCATGTGGAAGAGGTGCACTACCACTCCCCATTTCTGCTTTCTTGCAGGAGGAGGAGTGATGGGAGCAGCAGGACGCAATGCTGCCCAGGTGGCCCTCAAGGACTTCAGGAGCCTCTGATGACAGTGGTGACACTGACTTCACCAATACAGGCTTGTGGCAGCAGCAAGCCTCGTTGATCCCATGCAGAGCCCTGTCCATCCCCAAATTGCTTACCAGACACCTCAGGGCAGCATCCCTAGAGAGATGAGGGTGCAGTCTGGCAGGGTCCCTTGTGCTCTCAGCTGCTACTATCTTGAACAGATGGCTGCTCCCAGCCTACCACAACCCAGCTTGGCTGCAGTGACTCGTGCACTGTGTGACCTTGGTAAGCCTCACTCAGCCCCTGCCTGTGCCCATGGAAATAAACCTTGGCCCAGGTCTGTCATGAGCACTCTTGCTGTGATTTTTGAGCAATTCGTGCAGCTCCCACCATGCCAACATGAGGGGCTGTGGCTGGTGCTGCAACCTCAGCGGAGGTGCCAGAGGGGACTGGCACATTTCAGAGCAGTGAACTGGGACAGACAGCTCCTCACCCTCTCCTGTGCTCATTGATGCAGGCTCAGGTGCTTGCAGGGCTGTTTGTACAGAATCCCCCAGTTCTGGGCTGGCCCAGACCTTCCCATGGTGCTTAGAAGAAGCAAGCAGCCAGGGAGCTGCCTGGGACCGGCTTTGCTACCTTGAGGCCCCAACTGTCCTCTGTCCCCCAGCTCTGGGAGGGTGTGTGTACAGCAGACACGTGCCCAGCAGCTCAGAGGCCACAGGAGCCAGGAGTGGCAGCTACTCACTTGTGCCCCACACTCCCTACTGTTCCCACCAGGTGCTGCCTGTGCATGTTCTGGTTCTGTCCCTCCATCACCAGGGCAGATGCTCCGTGCTGGCCAACCCTCAGCCACAGCAGGCCCGGGAGCCGCTGGCTGCAGATTACAGAGCTCACATCCTCTCCCTGCCCTCTTCCTCCCCCGGACAATGCTCCTGATTCAGCCGCCCACCTCGCCTCCCGCCGGGCCCTAAATACGGGGCTGTCAGGCTGAGCTGCTGCACCTGAGCTAGCTGAATCAATATTGACTGGCCAGGAATAGTCCCGCAGCCCTCTGAGAATAGCCCCGCACGCCCGCCTGCTGCCCACAGCTTCCCGCGCACGGGGCTGCCCTGCTGCTGGCTGTGTATTTTTAGCTGCTGCCGCTGCTGGCTGCCCGGGACTGCAGGTGCTGGCACCCAGTGAGCCCCGAGGGAGATGAGGGGCTCACTGAGTGACACCTCAAGGCAAAGGGGGATGCTTCCAGCCTGCCACGGTCACAATAAGCAGCACAACACAGTGCCCCCACTGCTACGGGGTGAGGCTGGCAGGTCCCAGGTGTGGGAGAGCCCACCAGCCCCCTCCCTGCCCTCTTCTTGCTGACCCCAGGAGCAGAGGCAGAGCTGGGAGCGGTACCCCGCACCCGCCTGCCCTGGACCCCTGCCAGCATCCTCCGGGTGGGGAGGCTAGGGGGACTTCTGGCCTCACACTTTAGAAATTGAGCTCCAAAACGCTGAGACACTAATGAGTCACAGGCTTCACTGCTGGCTGCAACCCTGCCCTTCCCCAGGGCTTTCCGTGGCCCCCATGCTGGGGCCGGCCAGTGACCTCTATCGCAGGAGAGGCTTCAGCACATGCCCTGAGCCCGGACGAGGCAGAGGGCTGGGATGAGGGTCTCCTGAGAGCGGGTCCCGGCGCCGTGCACCCATGCACACCCAGAGGTGCTGGAGCTCTTGCGAAACGTGGCGATGAGCTCACGGGCTATTCCCGGCCGTGTTGACTCTGGCTCCTCCCGGCAGGATCCAGCTGCTTTGACTCCAAACAAACAGCCCGGTGGCCACCGGCACATTCCTGGCCGGTCCCTGGGCACAGCCAGGGCACAGGGTTTCCTGTTTATCCCCATCCCACGGCGGGGCACGGCGGGCATGTGGGTAGCGGGGTGCCCCGGGGACTGGCGGCACCCCAAGCCGGAGGTTGCTCCCGGGGCAGGTCGGGAGGGGGGCATCCCCAGTCTCCACGTCCCAGGGAGAAAGGCTATGCCTGAGGACCTTCACAGCCAGCCTGGCTCAGGAATGGCCCGGGTGATGCCCTGAGCCCTGGGAGAACCGTGCTCCGGACTTCCAATGCCATCCCACAGCCTGCCGTGCTCTCTGTGCCCCCCGAGTCCTAGCCCCATTGCAGCACCCCGAGGCACCCCCTGCCTGCATGCCCATTTGAGCCACTGTGTAGGTGGGAAGGGGCAAGAGATGTCCTTTTGAGGTGTCCCTAGCGTGACAGTTTGTCACCTCCACAAGGTCCATGCTCTGCATGGCTGGGGGACAGACCCATGGGAGGAGCATCCTTGACCGGAGGCATTGGATTCAGACTGGGAGGAGGTCCAGGCTCACGGCAGGTAGGGGTATCCGGGGGTCCTCAGCCCCCTCGGGCTGCGGGGAGGACAGGGGTTGGGGCGGGGACAGGTTTGCCCCAGTGTGGCAGGGTACGGTCGGGGGAGGGCAGGGAGTAGGGCTGGGCTCCAGGCCCGAGGCGGGAGGGCGGAGGCTCCCCCCCCCCCGGAGCGGCCCACCCCGCTGCAACATAAAAGCGGCTGCAGGCGGTGCTCGGCGGGAGTCAAGAGCTGTGGGAGTCAGCAGCAGCGGGAGCCAGCAGTCGCGTCCACTCGCCACCGCCTGCCCCACATCGCTGCCAGTCCTGCACCGCCATCCCTTGCCAGGGTGAGTGCCGGCGGTAGCCCCGGTGGGGGGAGATCTGGGCACCTGGAGGGGGTCAGCAACCCCACTAGTGCTCTGAATGGGAATGCAGGGGAAGAGATGGGATGATGGAGACAGAGCTGTGTGAAGAATGGGGAGGGGAGGGACCCTGGTGTTCGGCAAAGGATCCAAGCGGGGAATAAAGGGGGGCTCTGTGAGGCCCCCACCCATGTCCCGAAGCACGGGACAGGCAGGAAGCAACAAGAGCACAGGGCAATGTTCGTGGGGCTGCCCATGGCTGTGGGTTCCTGGGAGGGCTGTGCCAGGGTTGGGTAAAGCAGTGATGGGTGCAGGGCTGGGGCTGAGCCCAGAGGTGGGGCTGCGAGTATGGCAGGGTCTAGCACCTGCATCCCCCAAAACACAGGGACAGGGATGTCACCACTGCGCAAGGGGACATGATATCCCTACACCACTGCCCAACTCCTGGGGCACAGGGAGCACCCCCACCCTGCCATGATCCCCAAGGGCTCATTGTCAGGCTGTCTTCAGGCATCCCACCTGCAGAACCGCGATGGTGATGCCAATTGGCACAAGTCCCATCCTTCTGGTGCTGCTGCTGTGCTGGGTGGCCCCCAGCGGGCAGGACCTGGCCCCAGTGCAGCTGCGGCTGGGGGGACCACGGGGGCCAGCGGGAGAGGGCCGGCTGGAGGTGCTGTACCAGGGACGCTGGGGCACCGTCTGCGACGATGGCTTCGACTTCCACGCGGCCACCGTCGCCTGCAGACAGCTGGGTTACACCGCAGCCATCACCTGGACCCATAGTGCCACCTATGGCCAAGGGGAAGGTAAGGGGCAGGTGGGGAGTGGAAGGGTGGGGGGTCCTGGGGAGGACAGTGGGGAGGGGGAGCCTGCCCTGGGGACTGTAGGTGCAGGCAGCCGGCGGGACACACTGGATGGTGCCCGTGGTGCTGTGTTCCCCAGGCCCCATCTGGCTGGATAACGTGCGGTGTGGGGGCAATGAAGGCTCCCTGGCAGAGTGTGTCCACAATGGCTGGGGCATCAGCGACTGCCACCATGGTGAGGATGCTGGTGTGGTGTGCTCAGGACAGCGACTGCCTGGCAGCTCCCCCCAGGCTACCACCTCTGGTAACCTGAGAGAGGTGAGTGGGGGGTCATGGAATTCCCCTGTTCCCAATAGGGTATACCAGGGGGACTGGAGCAGGTCTCTCTAACCCTTTCCCATGTCACCATCCTGTATGCCCTGCCCTCGATACTGGAGTCCCATGCCCAACCCTGTGCCCATTGCGGCAGGTGCCAGGGCTGAGCCTGGAGGAGGTGCGGCTCAAGCCCATCCTGGCACGAGCCAAGCTGAGCATGCCAGTAATGGAGGGTGCTGTGGAAGTGAAGCACAACGGGCACTGGAGGCAGGTGTGTGATGCCAACTGGACCAGGAACAACAGCCGTGTGGTCTGTGGGATGCTGGGCTTCCCCCGCGAGAAGCAGATCAACACCAGCTTCTACCGGTAGGAATGTGGGAAACATGCATTGCACCTAAGCATGTGGGGCAGGTACCTGGCTGGGCACACTGTGCGGACAAGAGACTGGAGGGGGCGTCAGGGAAGGGCTGCACATATGTGTGGGTGGGCAAGGTGCCTGGTCATGTCTAGATCCCCTTCTTGTGGCCTTGACAAGGGGAAGAGTTGGGCTCAGCAGCATCCAGAGGACTGTGGGTATGGTCACCAGATATGGCTGGCAAAGCGTGGGAGAAAGGAGAGGAAAGGCAAGTGTCTCTCAATCCCTCCACCCCTGTCTCAGACTGGGACTATAAATACAGCGCGTAATGAGCCCCTACCAATGCCAGGAGTCACACAGTCCTGCTGGGACACATGGTACAGCCAGGCTTGGCACGGTAATCGCCAGTGTGAGAGAACCTGACATTCTGTGGGAAGACCTCATGGCTCCAGCTCCTGCTGGGGAGGGCAGGAGTGATGGGGTGGGGGGGTTCAGTTGTGCAGTGTCAGCATGACACCCCCCAACCTCCTGGTTCTGTGTACCCACAGAAAGCTCTGGAATAAGAAGCTGAAGGACTCCAACTCCAGGTAGGACTCAGCCCTGGACAGGGCAGGCAGGGCACCTTGGGTGGGCACCCAGCATGGATATTGGGTGGGGGTGAGTCTCTGGCACCCAAGCTGACACTGGCCCTGCTCCTCTCCCTCGGCAGCCTGAAGACTCTCAGCCAGAAGAACAGCTTTTGGGTCCACAGGGTGCAGTGTCAGGGTTCGGAGCCCTACCTGGCCCGCTGCCCTATACAGGTGGCCCCACCAGCCCCCCGCCAGCACGCCTGCCCCCACGGCATGCACGCCATTGTCAGCTGTCTCCCCAGCCCTGCCTTCCAGAAGGGCACAGGCAAGGGCAAGAGCAAGAGCAAGGCCTCCCCAGGAAAGGTGAGCCCTGACAGAGCCCCGCACCTCATCCCAGCGACAGAGGGTCTCAGAGCTGAGCAGCACACCCAGCCACTCCATTTGCACTTGTGCAGGTGGGTGGCCATGTCCTGGGGGTGCTGACCAGCTGCTCCCCATGCCCAGGTGCTCCCGGTGCGGCTGCGAGCGGGTACCCATCCCGGCGAGGGCCGGGTGGAGGTGCTACGCCACGGGCAGTGGGGCACCGTGTGTGAC